GATATAAATAAAGGACCACTTTGTAGTGAAAAAAAAAATATATATATATATGTGTGTGTATACAAAATAGTTAGGATAGATAAACAGCTACTTTCTCTTAGTTCAATGAGAAGAAAGGTTTGTACTACTATTGTTTAAACAAGATATCATGTCTGCATCTTGTTCTCTAAATAACCACTATGAAGACAACAATATGGAATGTATTAATTATTGTAACTGTCCTACTAACCTGTTTTGAAACTATTTCAGTGATATTTTATTTTCTCATTAAAAATGAATAAAAATTTTAAAAAGAAAAATATAGAGTAATTAATTTGAGCAAAATAAAGTCAAAAATAAAATTTTGTTCATCAGATCATAAGATATTGGAAAACCACCCAACAAATGAAGTATTGTACCATCAATAATACATTAAAAATTAGTACACTAAATAAATATTGAATGGTTTCTATAAAAATACTTATAGATATTTCACAGAAAAGTAAGCACAAATGTCAGGGGAACATTTTCAGACATTCAATTTATTAGTTCCCTGAATACAGAAGTTCCAATCATCAGAAAATGCCCCAAAAGACTGGAGAAAATTAATATCTGAAATGTCAAGTGTTGGTGAAGATGTTGAACAGTAGAAATCATGAGGAACATGATTAGCAAAATCATTTTGTGAAAACTGACCCAAATATTTCATAAAGCAATTTGAAATTATCTTACAGAAATAAGTATGTATGTATCCCAGACCAAAGAATTTAATTCCTGGGAATATACCCTTACACACGTGGACTAGGGAATATGTATGAAAATGTTTGCTACGCTTTTGTTCCCAATACGAAATAAATAAACAAAAACTCCAGCAACCCACATATCCAACAACACTGAAATTATAAAATAACATATATTTATAAATTTGCAAACCAAAATACGTCAATGAAAATTAATAAGTCTCTGTTGGGGAATACATACCAGCACTCTTGTAGACATTCACATTTGCAACACAGGCTGGAATCACAGCTAAGCTGAGTATGGCAAGGTGCTTGTTATCATCTCAGAAATCTAAAAGGTCAATGGCTTCAGGGAGCATAGCCCACTTCCCTCCCTACCCCTTCACCCCCGCAAGGAAATTTCAGATACTGTTTTGTATCACTGCTCAGGTATTGGTGAGGCTTTTTGAATGGTAGAGTTGCAGACTGAAAAGCCACTTAACTCTGTAACATATGTTTTGTTAGTAATAAGATATCCCACAACATGCATTGCATCTCCTCTTGTTTCAGTATCAAAATTTTGGTTGTATAAGGTAGGGACCCCACCACTTGGTCTCTTTGCCTACTCTTTATTTCTCTTTCTTTGTGAGTAACAAAAATATTGGAATCTAAAAATGACTCATTGTGTCTTAAGGCCCTAAATCAGGCCTTAACTTGGCCTGGCCTCATCTCATTTGCTTAATCATTACTGCTACTCCATACACAAAGACGAATGTCAGAAATAAATTTCAGGTGTCAAATAGATTGTAAACATATATAAACTGTATATTACTAGGTAGGTAAAATCAAAACACCAGCCTAAGCAGTATGACTTCAAGTGACTAGAAAACACAACGGTGAGAATATTAATTAACACTGAGATAAAGGGAGAGGATGTATCCAGAGAAGGATGGTAGGAGACTTTGGTAATGTTGGCAAACTTTAAA